GTAATTTAAAAAAAATCCTACGATCACGCAAGATCTATCTAGGTCATGCATAGCAATGAGAGGGGAGAGTGTGTCCACGTACCCTCGTATACCGAAAGCGGAAGCGTTTCAATAATGTTGTTGATGTAGTCGAACTTCTTCGCGATCCAACCGATCAAGTACCGAACGTACGACACCTCCGCGTTCAGCACACGTTTAGCTTGATGACGTCCCTCATGCTCTTGATCTAGTTGAGGACGAGGGTGAGTTCCGTCAGCACGACGACGTGGCGACGGTGATGATGATGTTACCGGCGCAGGGCTTCGCCTAAGCACTACGATGGTATGATCGAGGTGTGTAACTGTGGAGGAGGCGCCACACATGGTTAAGAGAAACTTGAGTGTTCTAGGGTGCCCCCTACCCCCATATATAAAGGAGCAAGGGGGGAGGCCGGTCGGCCCCTAGGGCGCGCCCCAAGAGAGGAGTCCTACTAGGACTACTAGTCCTAGTAGGATTCCACCACAAGGGAGAGAGGGGGAAGGAAGGAGAGGGGGAGGGAGTAGGAAAGGGGGGCGCCGCCCCCTTCCCTTGTCCTTTTCGGACTCCAGGGGGCTCCCTGCCCTGGCCGCCCTCCTCTCTCTCCACTAAGGCCTGTGGTGGCCCATTAGTTCCCCGCGAGGTTCCGATAACCCCTCCGGCACTCCGGTTTTATCCGAAACTTCCCGGAACTCTTCCGGTGTTCGAATAACATGGTCCAATATATCAATATTTATGTCCCGACCATTTAGAGACTTCTCGTCACGTCCTTGATCTCATCTGAGACTCCGAACAAACTTCGTTCATCAAAAACACATAACTCATAATATATATATCGTCATCGAACATTAAGCGTGCGGACTCTACGGGTTCGAGAACTATGTAGACATGACCGAGACTCATCTCCGGTCAATAACCAATAGCGGAACCTGGATGCTTATATTGGATCCCACATATTCTACAAAGATCTTTATCGGTCAAACCGCATAACAACATACGTTGTTCCCTTTGTCATCGGTATGTTACTTGCCTGAGATTCGATCGTCGGTATCATCATACCTAGTTCAATCTCGATACCGGCACGTCTTTTTACTCGTCTCGTAATACTTCATCCCGCAACTAACTCATTAGTCACATTGCTTGCAAGGCTTATAGTGATGAGCATTACCGAGAGGGCCTAGAGACACCTCTCTGAAAACATGGAGTGACAAATCCTAATCTCGATGTATGCCAACCCAACAAAAACCTTCGGAGACACCTGTAGAGCACCTTTATAGTCACCCTTTTATGTTGTGACGTTTGGTAGCACACAAAGTTTTCCTCCAGTATTCGGGAGTTACATAATCTCATAGTCCGAGGAACATGTATAAGTCATGAAGAAAGCAGTAGCAATGAAACTATAATGATCATAATGCTAAGCTAACGGATGGGTAATGTCCATCACATCATTCTCCTAATGATGTGATCCCGTTTATCAAATGACAACACATATTTATGGTTAGGAAACATAACCATCTTTGATTAATAAGCTAGTCAAGTAGAGGCATAATAGGGACACTATGTTTTGTCTATGTATTCACACATGTACTAAATTTCCGGTTAATACAATTCTAGCATGAACAATAAACATTTATCATGAAATAAGGAAATAAATAATAACTTTATTGTTGCATCTAGGGCATATTTCCTTCATATGTAGCATTGTGCGTCCGCATTCGGGTGAGGGAGAGGTAAAGAGAGGAAAATGAGAGAGAAGCAGACACCGGTTGGGCAGCAAGTCGCCAACGAGACCCTCCGATGGCTGGGTGAAACCAACGCGAGGTCAGCATTGCAAGAAGTGCGATGACGATGCAAATGTCTCATGGTTAGTTTTTTTAGAACATCCTGGTTTGGTTAGTGGTTAATTCGCATTAGATTAGGGATGGATTATGATTAGCTAGGAACTTTGGATTAGATTATCCACTGGCTGGTGTGCCCACATGGTTAGATTTGGCATACTACTAATTAGTTTAGGATTAGGTCACTCACTTGTGAGCAATGCCTGTCATAACGTCCATCTTAACGGTTAATCTAATAGATTTAACCTTGTTGTCCCGCATGAGACCTGATGGGTGGCCCCCCCAGTCATAATTGTGATCGATAACCGTTGAACCGGTCACTAACCAGAAGTGGTAGCTCTTTGCAAAAATTGTCGCAAAAGTAATAGCTTTTTGTTAGATCTCGCAAAAGTGGTAGTTTTCGACTACATTTGTCACAAAATGGTAGTATTTCGCTCTTTATTCCACTAGAAAACGAGGCTGACCTTCTTTCCACAATAAAGGGAGTTGAGGAATGGGGATCAAAGCTTCCGTAGAACGGTGAGCAGTCTGGAAATGGGAGCGACCGAATACAGATTTTTTTCAAAACTGTGATGATTTTTATAGCAAATTCGGAATTTATACGTTCTCACGCACCAAAATCAAAAGTAGCACCCCATCGGCCTCCAGTTGGCCGAAGAGGGGCTCTTCGGCCTGCGGTTGACCGAAGTGGGCTCTTCAGCCTCCAGTTGGCCGAAGAGTGCCCCAACTGGGTTGAAAAAGACTCTTTGGTCTACCGTAGGCCGAAGAGCATTCTTTGGTCAACCGTAGGCCGAAGAGTCCTCGAGCCCCAACTTTTCGCATTAACAGGAGGCCGAAGCTGCATGGCTGCGCTCTTTTGCCCATGCTAGGCCTTGGGCCCCAAAGAATACTCTTCGGCCTACGGATGACCAAAGAACACTCTTCGGCCAACGGTAGACCAAAGAGTACTCTTCGGTCCAGTTGGGGTACTCTTCAGCCAACGGGAGGCTGAAGAGCCCACTTCGGTCAACCGCAAGCGGAAGAGCCCCTCTTCGGCCCACTAGAGGCCGACAGGGTGCTAGTTTTGATTTTCTTGTGTGAGGACGTATAGATTCTGAATTTGCTATAAAAACCATCACAGTTTTGAAAAAAAATCCCGAATACACGTGTTAGAGCAACTCTAACTGACCTCCTATAATTTAAAGGAGTAAACGATCGAGAATCCTTTAGAGGAGTACTTTGACTCCTCTAATAAATGGTCGTTTCTACCCGAACCCCTAAATTTAAGGAGTAAAAAAGTTAAACAAAAATTCATAAAAAAACTATAATAAAAACCACACATTTCAATAGAAACACCACTTCCTTAACTGCTCCTATTAATATCCGATCAATACTTTCTCCATCTCTTCGGTGACTACATTGTTTCTTTCCTCTTTCAGCTTCTGAGATTGCACACTTTTTTCTTCTCCTCCTCTTCGAACTTGGACATAACATCCTCTCTAGCCTCATCTCTAGCAACTACCGCACCAACATCTAAATTTTTTCTCGCTATAAATATATCGATGTACTCTTCTTCCCAACACCAAAAATTGCACCTGTCCTACATATAATTTTAGGCAAACAATGAGTTTCACATTGGGACAAATTCGAAGAACAACCATACGAAATGGAACTCACTCTGTGCTTTTTGCACTTGACAAAAACCCATCCGGGATGTTTTATGCGTGCTCAAAACAAGGCGCACCACCAGCCGCCAGCAATGGTCACACTTGACCATCGACAGAGGCTCGCCGATGAGCTGCTGCGCAAGGGCTTAGCCCCGCCGACGGTCAACCGAGATGTGAGATGCGAGCAGTGAGAGGAGGAGGGCATACCGAAATGCGGGTAGCGATCGAGGTGGATGCCATAACAGGTGCATCGAGTCCCTCCAAAGTGTTGGCGCCGATGACTAGGTGCGTCAAATCGGACAATGGCGGCGATTGTAGTCTCGGTGATTTATAGTCGCTGATGACGAAAATTCGACCAAATCGAGGTGGGGGACGAGCGCGCTGGGTGCTTCAGGGGGTCGCCGGTAGCGCATGGTGGCCGACGGAGGCAAATAGGGCTGCGTCGGAGTGGACGCGATGTGGGGTTGGGTGGGTGCAACCAAGGGTGGAGGGGAAGACTTTTTACTCGTTCGGTTGGTGAGCGAGTAAATATAGGAGTCGAGGCGGCCAAGAAGTATAATTTTTACTCCTCTAAAACTTTTAAGGGATCTCCTAGGTGCCAATTAGGAAAGGAAAAAAAAGAAATTGTACTCCTCTTAAGCATTTTATCAGGGATCGATTAGGGTTGCTCTTACAGTCTATTTTGTTTGGGTCCCCAACATCTTTTGCCTCACGTGGAGTTGTCCCTTGGTATTATACATGTTTGTTTGGTTGCTATCCTATGAAAAAGAAAACTCACCTAGCCTAAATTCTTTTGTGCCGTAATCAGCCTAGCTAGACTCATTGCACGACAATTAGCTTGGCCGAGGCGACCGAATTCGGACACCTGGCGATGCGGCTACAAGGCTAAGATTAGATGGAGTGTATCGATGGGACGTTGATTTTTTGCCTGGAAGGCATGAACCCGTTCCACATTTTTGCACCTACCAAACACAGGAACGAAACTGACCCATTCCTCTGGAATGAAATCATTTCATCCCGTGACATGGTTTCTCAACCAAACACACCCTTCATCACCACACAAGCCTAGTCTGTCTGACAGCACTGGCCATCCAAGCATGAGGGTGAGGTCACGGACCAAACTGACCCTAGACCGCGGCAGCCCCTGCTGTGAGATTCACGCTAGGATCGAACAGGTCAGATCGTCTCGGGGGAGGTACGATAGAGCGAACGTTCACTCATTATATTTTCCGTAACGAAAATCCATGAATCCTTCATCGTCGGACAATATATCGACCCCACCCGTCAGATACGGCCCGCTCTCTGCCCAAACGCCTATATTAGCCCGCCGCCCGCCGCGCGCCCCCATCCCCACAGCGCCAAAGCGAAAGCCACTTCCTTCTCGCCGCAGAGCTCCCAAATCCCGCACCCGAGGAGGCGACTCTCCCGCGCGCGAGAGAGCGGGTCACGAGTCCTGCAGCGACGGCGGCTGCGGTCACCGGCCGCAGAGCCAGCGGGCGACATGACGGACGGCCACCTCTTCAACAACATCTCCCTCGGCGGCCGCGTCGGCAACGTGAGTGCGCCTCCCCCGCCCCAGTCGAGTTCGCTCGCCGTGATTCGATTCGTTATTTCGTTAGGGTCTTCCGCTCGACTGTTCGATTCCGCGCTGGCGAGTTTGGCGGACGGGCTCGTCTAGCGGAATTTGTTCTGCGGATTTTTCAGAACGGCGCTTGTTTTTTCTAGGGTTTACACGCTAGGGTTTGTTTCGTCTCTGCGGTACGGAACTGCTCCAGAGGGTAAATTTGTGATCCGCCGTTGGTTGTTGGATTTGGACACCAATGTTGGTCAGGCAAAATGAATAGTCCATATCCAATTAGCTTGGGATGGAACAAATTGGAAACTCAACTACAAACAGGCGCTAATCTAGGGATTCGGGGAGCATGTTCATGCAACAGATACATAATGTCTTGTGCAATTGCTACCATCACCCAGGCGCCGTCCATTTTGGTATTCATGTGTGCCAATTTGTGCTATGACTGCACTGTGTTGGAAGATCACAGCCAATGGCCTTCATAATCACTTTTTATTTACAGTTCGCACATGTTCTTTAAGGAGTATTCTCCTTATCATTGTTTAGCATACCTAGATGTGATTGAAACACTTGTTGGTTCATTTTAACGAATAAGAATTGTACATTTGTGTTCATTCGTGGTTCATATCTTTTTGAAACTTAGTGACGACCCTATTCCAATTATTATTTTGGTAAAAAGTACATAGATCAATTCCTTTTTATGGTTGTTGTTGAGTCGGTCACTGTTAGTGGCATTATCACGATGCTGAAATTCCCGTCGTGCTGTTATGGACTGATGGTTTGTGCACTTGTAGAACCCTGGTCAGTTTAGGCTATATTCGGGAGGGCTTGCATGGAAGAAGCTAGGTGGAGGAAAGACAATTGAGGTTGATAAAGCTGATATAATTTCTGTGACGTGGATGAAAATCCCCAGATCTTATCAGCTTAGTGTTGGGACCAAAGAGGGGATTCGGTACGTGTTCAAAGGCTTCCGTGAACAGGTAATAGTCTTCCATTTCCCCACAAGCAATTAATTGATTGTATACTTTGACATGAAGAGATGCTAGAAAATAAGAGAAGTTATACAATCACAGTTGCATCTGCTTTCTGTGTCAAGTTTCAATCTTTCTTGGATAACTGAAACTCTAGTTGTAACCTGAGAACTATTTTGTTTATATTGTTTCGTAGGATGTTAGTAACCTTACTAACTTCATACAAAAGAACACGGGAACCACACCAGAGGAGAAGCAGCTTTCTGTTAGTGGCCATAATTGGGGCGCGGTCGACATCAATGGTTAGCTGAGTTCTCTATAGTCTGTCTGGTAGTGGGTATTCCATTTCCCTTTTGTAAAATTTGTTTCATTTTCCCATTCTTCCATTTTCAGGCAATATGCTTAGCTTTAATGTTGGCTCAAAGGAAGCATTTGAAGTCTCTCTATCAGATGTATCACAAACTCAGTTGCAAGGAAAAACAGATGTTGTTCTTGAGTTCCATGTTGATGATACTACAGGGGCTAATGAGGTCTGTTGTCTGCCTGTATATATTGATCAAAGTTACTCTGTAGTTTTGTAAAGTGTTACCTGTTTGGTTGGCTTTTGCTTACTGTTGCTGGGTGTAAAAAAGGTAAATTATTGTGTCTGAATCCCAACATTGGTGTGTATATTTATACTAACATAAGTTTTTTTTACTCTTTATAGTGACTCTTATTAGTTTCCTTGCCTGTGCACGTAAAAGTTTCTGCGACTATAGCTGTTCTTTCAATCTCGTTTTAGGCATTTCAGATCTAACTAGCTCCGGTGGTTAGGCCATATACATAGGAGATACACTTTCCAAATCTTCTATTGCACTGAACGTAAATGCACCATTGAGCACCATCTAGACTCTAGAGGATTCCGATCTTTCCCATGAAAATCTTACAAAGATCATTAGTAAAACAAGTGATTATAACTCCCCTTTTCATCATTTTCTGCAGAAAGATTCGCTGATGGATTTAAGTTTTCATGTACCAACTTCAAATACTCAGTTCCTCGGTGATGAGGAACGTCCCTCGGCTCATGTGAGTTCATTTGATAAGCACGATACGACACAGCATGCATGCATATTTTGCGCACATAGTGAAATGTTATCTCTTCAGATTTTTTGGCAGAAAATCTTGGCTATAGCTGACGTTGGCTCATCAGAAGAGGCTGTTGTCTCATTGGAGGGAATTGCAATTCTTACCCCAAGGTGAGAAAATCTTGTAACTGTAGACTCTTTGCCTTTCCTAAAATAAGCGTGTCCATTTATTTGTTTCATTTCATGCCATAGCTAACTGCTTATTTTTAATTCAGAGGTCGATACACTGTTGAGCTTCATATGTCATTCTTGCGACTCCAAGGACAAGCTAATGATTTCAAAATCCAGTATAGCAGTATTCTTCGGCTCTTTGTTTTGCCAAAGGTTCTACTACTTTCATGCTTTGTGAACTATCAAGAATTCTTCGCCTTTGTATACTGTCAATAAGCTAATATGATTTCATGCTTATACTTTGTGCCCTTCAGTCAAACAACCCTCATACCTTTGTGGTCATCACACTTGATCCGCCAATTCGCAAAGGACAAACATTATATCCCCACATTGTTATTCAGGTATTGTATTATGATACATTTCACATTAACTTGGCTACAGTTCTTGTATGACATTTAATAACTGGTTCCTTTATGAACAGTTTGTGACAGAGAATGTAGTTGAGAAGGAGCTGTCATTAAGTGAGGAGGTTTTGGCTGAAAAGTACAAGGACAGGCTGCAGAGTTCTTACAATGTGATATTCTTATTCACTTAATGGCTGACTTTCCTTGCATCTCTTTTAAGTTTAACGCGACCTATTTCACCTAAAAATTGATCATAGCTCTTGTTTTTTTGGTGAACTTTGATCATAGCTTGTGTTGATTTTATTTTACTTTGTCAGTGGTACATGCTTTAATTATCAAATGCTCTGCACTATTATTGATTAGTACGTACAAGAAATGATACCAGAATTAATAATACATACCAATAGAACAATACAAGAGTTAATGACATACTACTCATAAAGCATACTGTATATATTAGTGATTATGTACTGTTGAAACACCAGTAGTAACCCTCCCGTGCACTTATTACCTAACTCTTGGGGTTTATCAAAAAATGATGTGTGTTTATATTTGTACAATTTCATTCAGTACTTAATCACAGAGCTACTGACATGCATCTTTTCTGCTTGCAAGTATGTTTTAGTGAAAGAATGCTTTACTGAACTGAATTAAATATTACCAATCATTTGTGTCCTGATCAGATGATTGCCCCCTTATGTTCTGTTTTCTACTTGTGCACTTGCTCTTCATTTACAGTTTTCTGGGATCTCGATTTATTGTATAATACTCCAGTTTAACTAATTAACTCACAAAATGTATGATTTATATATAGGGTTTAGAACATGAGGTATTCTCCAAAATCCTTCGTGGCCTGTCTGGTGCTAAAGTGACGAGGCCAAGCACATTCCGCAGTTGTCAAGATGGATATGCCGTGAAATCATCACTTAAAGCTGAAGATGGATTGCTGTATCCTCTTGAAAAAGGCTTTTTCTTTTTGCCAAAGCCCCCGACACTCATTCTGCATGAGGAGGTCTGTTTTCTACATTTCTGACATGCCTAATTGTTCATCATCCATTTGTCATCTGCTAAGCTGTTATTTACTGCAGATTGAGTATGTTGAATTTGAGCGCCATGGTGCTGGTGGTGCTAGTATGTCATCTCACTATTTTGATCTTCTGGTCAAGCTAAAGAATGATCAAGAACATCTCTTCAGAAATATACAAAGGAATGAATACCATAACCTCTTCAACTTCGTCAGGTAAATGCTGATGTCTTGTTAATTTAATCACTGGCATACTATTTAATTCGTTTGGGGATGATAATTTCTTGTTTCTTCCCTTACTTCAAGTGGTAAGAATTTGAAAATCCTGAATCTTGGAGAAGATGGCCAAGATAGAACTGGTGCTGTTGCGGCTGCTCTTCAGAGCACTGATGATGACCCCGTTGATCCACATCTGGAGCGAATTAAAAATCAGGCCGGTGATGAAGAAAGTGATGAAGAGGTATTGTGTGTGTGCAATCTTTGCTCTTCTTTGCCTATATTGTCATGGAGTAGAATGTAATTTGTTTACTTGTAAATCTTACTGTAACATATTCCAACTTCAGGACGAAGATTTTGTGGCTGACAAGGATGACAGCGGATCCCCTAGTGATGATTCTGAAGAGGGTTCTGATGCCAGCATAAGCGATGGAGAAAAGGAGGTAACTAAATTGACAGTATCCCTAAGAAAACTTACCTGAACCAAAATACATGTGGCAAGTCACTGCTTTAATAACTTCTTGTTTTAGAAATCTTCCAAAAAGGAAGCTAGTAGCTCAAAGCCACCTGTGAAGAGGAAACCAAAGAATGTGGACGTGGAAGGTTCAGAGAAGAGAAAGCCGAAGAAGAAGCAGAAGAAAGATCCCAATGCCCCTAAAAGAGCAATAGCACCATTCATGTATTTCTCAAAGGCTGAGCGAGCTGTAAGTTACTTGCACCAATCCATATTAAAATTTTCTGCTTTCATAAAATTGTAATCTGAACACGTACCTGCTCCATCCCAAACTGCATCAAACCAATAGCAATAGATGCATCATGATTCATGAAACATGTTTTCCATATTAATACAGATAGCTATTATTTCTATGAACTTAGTCAAACTTAAATAAGAGTATCCTGCATTGTTTTTGACGAATTTTAGTTCATTTCTGTCGTTGCAGTCTATGGTTGCTATGTTAGGTTGTAGAATTATTTGCTATTCTTTCTCAAGACATTTGTCATGCACTGTCAAATTAAGCAAACAATGGATCTTTGATTGACATTTTTCTCATGCAGAATTTGAAGAACATCAACCCTGAACTCAGCACCACTGATATTGCAAAGAAGCTTGGAGAGAAGTGGCAAAAGATGTCAGGTAACATGTCCTAAGTTACAATCTGGTGCGGCTGAGGAAACATGTCCTAAGATATGGATGTTGCAGTTCATACTGTCATTTTTTTTGAAGGAAAAAAAAACTTCCGTGGTAATCATTTCCAATTGTCATATTTGCAGCTGAGGAGAAGCAGCCATACGTTGAGCAGTCCCAAGTGGATAAGAAACGCTATGCAGAGGAGTCTGCTGCCTACCGCGGCGCTGGTGCGGCTCCTGTAGACGTGGACTCTGCAGATGGATCGTCCGATTGAATTGGAAGATTGGCCGATGTCGAAAGGAGCATACTTTCGAGTCATGGTACAAGTAGGCATCCGATCTATCTTGGCTGTAGTGACTGTTGAGGTGTGATCCCTACGTTTCTGAGTTAACAAACAACAGTTAGGATATGTAGGTTCCAAGGTGATGTTTACTTTGCTAAGAGCTGTCAGCACATGTGACAGGTGTTTTATTCGCACCCTGCTTGTGCAACCTTTTTTCCTGCAAAATACTCAAATCTTCACCGGAATTACAAAGCATACAAAACATACTCCCTCTGTTCACTTTTATAAGACTTTGAAGACATTTCAGACAATGTGCAAAACAGTTCATTTTAAATTGTCTGAAACGACTTACAAAAGTGAATGGAGGGAGTAATAAAAATTACATTGAAGTCCTGGAACCATTAAATGACTATAATACCGCCACAGAATGAGCCGTTGACGCTACCTTGACGACTAGTGTTATGACCGGTTAGGGGCTTAGGCTAGTCATAGTGGGGAGTAACTTAGACTAGTGTCATGCATATGACATTAGTCTTTGTTACTATCTTCATAGTGCAAAGTAACATACAAGTAGTATCATAGATGATATCATTTATTACATTATAGACTCATTTTGCTTTGGGTTGTGTTATGTTACAGTAACATATTATGTTACTCCAAACACCTTTTTCCTCATTAACTCTATGCCACATAAGCAAACCTGTCTTGAAATGAAATGCGTTATGTTACTTGCTAAGTTACTTCCACTATGATCAGCCTTAGCCTACCCAGTTTATCTTATCCTTATTAGGGGCTTAGCCAATTATTTTATTAGGAGGATTATATAAACTCGTGCAAGGGCCTGTTTTGGGATTAAGCAATGGGATTAAGCAAGAAGCAATCATATTTGCTTGGCTTTTTTGACTTTTTTAGGGAGCCGGGAGACCTAACCCTAGCCGCCGCCCCTGCTCTCTCTCTCTCTTGCGCCCGTAACGTCGGCGCCCTAGCGGCGGCGACCATGCCTTCCTCCACGCCATCCCTTCTTTCACCCCTGTATCTACCAATTTGGTATTAGATAGCTTTGGTGCGATATGTCCTCGTCGCCGCCCACCCCGACCCTTCCGCTGCCGACCGTGACGATCGCCCCGATGGCCACTACGGCCAGCACCCCGCTCTTGTCGGTGTCGGTTACCTCCGCCGCGCCCGTCTCCGTCGTCTTCACCCCGGAGGAGATGGCGACTGCCATCCGGGATCTCACCCAGGCGGTCACGGGCATCTGCACGTTCCTCGTGAGATCATATGGGCCGCAGCCGCCTGTACCTTTCGCCACTGCCCCGCCGCCGCAGCAGCCGCCATCCTCGGTGACCCCCGTCGCCGCCGCCATGCAGCAGCTGCCGTGGCAGCCGTCTCCAGCGACGAACCCCGGCGCCTCCACCATGCAGCAAGGGCAACAGCTGCAGCCGCCGCCACCGGCGACCGCGGCCCTGGGCATCCCGACGACGGGCCCGGGGGTGCCCATCCACCAGGTCCGGTTTCCCCGTCGCCGTCTCCGTTACCGGCCTAGCTCGCTGGGTCCCTTGAGCCGGTCTACACGACAGCCTCGGTCGGGCCGCACGTGCTGCCCCCGCCGGCAATGCACCCGGCCATGCAATTTGGCGGGTCCTCGGGCTCCGCCGAGCCCTTCGCCAACATCGACGGGCCCCTGTTCCAGGGCGGCACCCTGATGCCCGCCTACTTGGCCCTGTCATCCTCGTTGTTCCGTGCTGACGAGGCGTACCCATCCGTCGTCCACGCCCAGCCGCCGCCGAGATTCTCCAAGCTGGAGTTCGCGACCTACAACGGCACCGTCGACCCCCTGAATTGGCTCAACCAATGCGACCAATTTTTCAGGGGGTAGTGCACACTCGCGTCCGACCGCACCTGGATCGCCTCGTATCATCTCCGAGGAGCCGCGCATACATGGTACTACGCCCTCGAACAGGACGAGGGCGGCATGGCCCCATGGGAGCGCTTCCGCGATTTGTGCCTCTTGCGCTTTGGTCCGCCTATACGCGGGAGCCGTCTGGCAGAGCTTCGGTGTCTTCCGTTCCTCACCTCGGTGCAAGACTTCGCCGACCGCTTCCAGGCACTGGCGTGCCACGCCCCCGGCGTTTCGGCTCATCAGTGGGCTGAGCTCTTCGTCGGCGGCCTACCGGACCACATCCGCGTGGACATAGAGATGTGCGGGCCCCAGGACCTCCATACGGCCAGGTACTACGCCCGCGCGTTCGAGCGCTGCGTAGTGGCCATCCAGCAGGCGCCACCGCCTCGGGCCGCTGGGCCGCCACCCTGGCCGGAAGTTCCCGCGTAGGGTCGGCCTGCCCAGGCTCCCTCGGCGCCCCTCGCCGCGGCTACGACACGCCCGTTCCGTCGTCTCACCCCGACCGAGCAACTCAAGCGTCGCCGCCAAGGGTTGTGCTTCAACTGCGACGAGCCCTACATACCGGGCCACGTCTGCCCACGACTCTTCTACCTGGAGGTTGCAGACTACATTGAGGAGGACCCCGCCGCCGCCGGGCTCGGGGACCAGCCCGCCCCAGTTGAAGCGGAGGTGTTTGCCGACCGCTGATCTTTCCCGCCTTCTAGCTCGAGGACGAGCTGTTTGTGCAGGCGGGGAGAGATGTTATGACCGGCATATTAGGGGCGTAGCCCAGTTAGTTGTGGCCTAGTTTATCTTATCGTTATTAGGGGCTTAGCCCAATTATCTTATTAGGAGGATTATATAAACTCGTGTAAGGACCCGTTTTGGGATTAAGCAAGAAGCAATCATATTTGCTCGGCTTTCTTAGGGAACCGGGAGACCTAACCCTAGCCGCCGCTCCTGCTCTCTCTCTCTCGCGCACGCACGTAACGACGGCGCCCCAGCGTCGGCGACCACGTCATTCCTCCTTCCATCCCTACAACCTGAGACCACGTCCTGATAGGGATCTGGTACCTACCAACTAGTGCCCTGGAGCTATAGTTCGCCCTCCCATAATGTAGCCGGCCCAAGTCTTTGTGCATGCGTCCTCTAATGACCAACGCTACGTAGAGCTGTAGCCGGCCAAGTCTTTATGCATGCATCCTCTAATGACCAACGCTACATATAGCTGTAGTTGTGCCTGACATTACCTAGCAAAGCATCTTTTGATGGCATAAGAAAGGTCATATCTAAGGCTGTTTCATGGCTAACTCCAACGCAAGACCCCAAACCCTCAAATGGACGGCTGTTTCATGGACGGCTGTTTCTTTTGATGGCATAAGAGAGGTCATGTCTAAGGCCAACTCTAACCCCCAAACGGTCAAATGGACGGCTGTTTCATGGACGGCTGTTTCTTTTGATGGCATAAGAGAGGTCATGTCTAAGGCCAACTCTAACCCCCAAACGGACGACCGTTTCTTTTGATGGCATAAGGGAGGTCATGTCTAAGGCCAACTCTAACGCATGATTCGAAATGGACGTTCGTCTTGTCTGAATTTTGTCCATTTGGGTAGGACAATGGGGCGGCGTCCGGCCGTTTTCCTAGATGCACTGGCCGTGCACCCAACGTGCGGAGGCATCTGGTCCACCACGGCCGGTTGGTGCCCCTATGTATACATTTTCCGGCCACCGAAACACATTTCTTTTCCATCAACGACATTTTGATACATAGGAGTACATAATTTACCAATTCTTCGCTAGGATAACAAGACAAAAAAAAACAAGAACCACAATTAGAGAGTTTAAAAGATATTCAACTTCCATAACTGCTCCCACTAGTTGGATTAATATCTTCTCTATGTCTTCATTGTTGATCTGCGGCTTCTCGAGCTTACACACTTCTTTGTTCTCCGACTCCGAAGAAGTAGATGTTGCTTCACATCTAGTCTCATCTCTAGCCTCCATTCTAGCAATGGGTGCACGAGCATCTATTAAATTTCGTGCTATCAATAGATTGATGTAATCTTCTTCCCAATACCAAAACTTGCATGCATCATACACACCAATTTGAGTAAGCAATGAGCTACCGAGGCGCCGAATCAGGGAGCACAACCAAATCAAAAGAAGCACATACCCCATAATTTTTGCACTTGAAGAACATCCATCCGGGATGTTCCAGTGTGGTAGAAACATGGCGCACGACCTGCCGCGGGCAGTCATCGCACTTTATGACCGGTAACGATGAGTCGACGAGCTGCTAGGCCAACGCCGAGCCCCAGACGACGGCCGTGCGTGCCTTTGCTGGTGAACCGCCGATGGGATAGATTCGAGCGACCAGGGCTGTGCGGTCCAGTACCCGGCCAATCTATGGCACCAAATCCAGCGGACGGATGCACCAAATCCTGCCGCCCTAGATCCATCAGTTGGTTGCTGGCGTCGGGGCGAGAGAGGCACAAATCCGGTGGTCATGCTTTGGGCGGCCGGGCTGGACAACATGGAGGCGGCCTGAGAAAATTAAAGGAGCGTCTGTGTCCCCGATGGGCGGGCTAGATGACGACAAGGGCACGCGTCTCGCGTGTGCGTGCGTGTCCGCTTCGATACAAACGCGACCCAAAGTTAAGCCGTGAATAGGTTGAAAGCAAACAAAAAACGAACATTTTTTCGTTTGCTTCCGAATGTTGGGCTGTGGTTTGTGTTCGTTTAGTCCCAAACGGACGCGGCCTGACCATTTGTGATCGTGCGTTGACCTAACGATGCATGATCAACTAGTCAAATTAACTTGTGGGAAGATCATTGGATTCCTGGAAGCCTGATGTAGGGTGGAACCCTAGACACCCGATCTTTCACGTTTGGAGGGAATCCTACCAAGAACACGAAGAACACGAGGGGGAAACACGGGGAAATCACGGGGAAACACAAGAGAAATCACTCAACCAACAAGATCAATCACACATGTGCTAGATCCATGAACACAAAGAGGTACACGATTCGAATCCAACAAGGGATGATGCATAGGGTAACCGGTTCTTCTCCGTGAGGAGGTCTTGAGATAGGGTCCACCTGTGAGAGGGTC